GTATTTGTAGAGTTATTCACTTTGACTTTGTAAAAAAATTTGTAGTATGCGTAACTCAAAAGTATTTGACATTCAGTCACAAAACTTTACAGTCATGTTGGTCAGCATGATTGTGTAGTTGTGCATTTGGGATTTTGCATATGTTTACTTTCTTTTAAGCATACTTTAGGATACAAATTGAGATTTGGAATCCTTGCAGCTTAATATTGGGAAAAATTAACATGTCACCTTTGGAAAAAATTGATACTCATTTTTATACCACAACTTCTTAGGGGTATAATTATCAAATGGGAGTCATGTAGAATTACTTTTATCAGTCTGCCGGCTCTATGTCAGTAGACAGACAAAACAGTGGAATGTATGGGCATCCCTGTCCTGTGGACACATTGCTAATTACTAATTGAGAAAAAAAGAAGTTATCATTTTAAGTCTGTGATTTTTGAATTCCTATTGTGTGTTAAATATTTCAAAATTTAAGTCTTGTTCACATTATTTGTTGCATCAAGCTAAAGTATCTGAAATATTTTTTGAACCATTCTTATATTCTCTTTCTCCATCTTATATCTTTTTTTGGTCACCTCTACTGAGAAGTGGCAACATTTAGGGATCACTTCTCCGTCCTCTGTCCGTCTGTCCATCTGTCCGAGTTTACATTTGGATACTTATGTGGCTGTAGGAACAATAGGTAACTGTACTTTCTTTTTGATGTCATTCATTCCTTAAGGCTTTTATGTGGCTATTTTCCTTTATGTGGCTAAAAAGAATAAAAGAGAGAACAAATGATGATAGAGTAGCCACATAAGTACTGTCTCATTAGAACACCATCTGTCTGTCTGTCTGTGAAACCAAATAGAGATAAAGGACCATTAAAAATTCTATTGTTATTTTCTTTTGTTAAATAGAGGGCCATGGCCCCTTATTTTTTTGTTACAGAATGAATTCTTTGTTCACTTTGGTTCTGTTTACTTAGGAAATAGATATCAATTCCGAGTGCATTGTTGTAGAATAATGCACGGTTTGAGTTCAAATGCGTAGTAATATAATCACGAAGGCCAATAGGCCTGAGTGATTAATTACAAAGCATTTGAACGAAAAACGTGCATTATTATACAATAATGCACAAAGAATTAATATCTATTTCCATTCTAACACGTCAAGAATAAATATAATTATTATTTTAAAGGTGGAATTTATGTTTGGTGGTTTAATTTGTTTACGCCTAGGGGTTTCCAATAGAAACGTTCTTAAACGGCTGTTCCAGTGGGTTGAAAAAAACTGTCGTCAAATCTGCCGTGTGTAGAAACATTTTGAGAATAACAAAATTTGTAAACGTTGATGAAACTTTGTTTGATTATTTTATTTCACTCTATAATTTTTCAAGCGAAATACAAATTATTAAAAGTGAAATAAATGTAAAACTTAACTCGTTTGCGACATTAAAATAGCGTACTTAATTTGATTGTTTTGCACGTGCTGTTTGGCGCTACATTGTGACGTCACGTAAACAACACTTTAAACGACTGTACAGCGTTAACGACTGAATTAAAGATATTGGTGTTCGGATTCATTTTCTTAGTTAGACCATTTTCTTTCATTCTAGATAGATTTCACAACAAAATTCGACAAAAAAAATTGTTTTATTTATAAGATTTTTCAAACAAAATGGCACCCTCAATGTGAAAATACACAGGGAGATAATAAGAACGGCGAGTGCATTGTTGTAGAATAATGCACGCTTCGGGCCTTCTTTGTTTATATAGAAAAAAATCCGATAGTGTTAGAATGTGAGTTAGATGACCCCTTATCCCTATTTGGTAGTGCATGATCCGTCCTTTAACCCTCTAGTGGTCACATTTTTGACTCAATTGTCATTAAATTAGTCAGGATGCTTGTCTAAGTAATTGCTCGGATGAGTATAAATTGATGGGTCTGTTGAGCGCTATAGGGCCATCTTGGCCCTCTTGTTTAAAGTTTGTCCTGACTATTCCTCTTATACCACTGATTCAATTTCAATGAATTTTTACTGGATTGATCTGTAGCTCACATACTTGCACATATTGCATGGGTTTTCCAGTTGAATGATTTTTAGCCGAGTTAAGGTCCTTGAATAAAAAATGTTGTTTTTTTTTGTTTGTTGCCAGATACACAAAAGCTTTTTCGGACTATTTTGCAAGAACTTCTGGTACAATTTCATTTAAACTCTACAGGAATGATCAGTACCAAGTTTATTTGTGCATATCATGGGCTTTTCATGGTTCAATGATTTTTCTCGGAGTTATGGCCCTTTAATTATATTTAGCTCCCCTGTCACAAAGTGACATTCTGAGCTTTTGTGATCACTTTCGTCCGACGTCTGTCTCCGTCCGTAAACTTTTATTTTAAACAACATCTCCTCATCAATTGGATAGCCAATTTCATCCAAACTTCACAGGAATGTTCCTTTGGTGGTCACCTTTAAAAATTGTTGAAATAATTTAATTCCATGCAGAACTCTGGTTGCCATGGCAACCGAAAGAAAAAAATTAAAATATCTTCTTTTAAAAAACCCAAAGAGGTAGAGCTTAGATATTTGGAATGAAACATCTTGTAGTAAGTGTCTATCAAATTTGTTCAAATAGAAGTCCTGAAGTGAAAATTGTGAAGTGTTGGGGGTCATTGATTTCTTTATATGTATATAGTAAAAACTTAAAAACTCTTCTCTTAAAAAAGAGTTAGAGCTGATATATTGAGCATGAAACATTCTCTTGTTGGTGTCTACCAAGTTTGTTCAAATAAAAGCCCCTGGATCAAAATTGACCCGCCTCGGGGGTACTAATTTTCCTTATATGTCTATTATAGTAAAAACTTTAAAAAAACTTCTTTTAAATGTCCCACAGAGCTAGAGCTTAGATATTAAGTATAAAACATCTTCTAGTGAGTGTCTACCAAATTTGTTCAAATAAAAGCCCCAGGGTTAAATTGGCCCCACTTGGGGGTTCTGATTTTCCTTATATGTCTAGTAAAAAATCTTTTTTTAAAACCCCAAAAGATCTAGAGCTTAGATATTTATCATGAAACATCTTCTAATGGGTGTTTACCAAGTTGGTTAAAAAAGCCCCTGGGTTAAAATTACCCCTGCCCCAAGGGCCTATATACATATGAGCGATTTCAGGGCCATCAAGGCCCTATTGTTATTTTTAAAGTTTATCTGGATTACTTCTCTTTTACCACTATTGCAATTTCAATGAAACTTTGTTGGGATGATTGGTAGGTCAAGTTCTTACACATATTACATGGGTTTTTGACTTTGATGATTTTGTGTGAGTTATGGCCCTTGAATGAGAAGGATGTTGATAAAGTTTGTCCAGGCTTATTTATTATTCCTCTTAAATCACTAATAAAATTTCAATGAAACTTTACAGGAGTGATTGGTAGCTCAAATTCTTGTGCATATTACACAGGTTTTTAGGTTGAATGATTCTTTGCCTCATTATGGCTATCAAGAGGTGACACATGTGATCACTGGTCGCTCTTGTTCACATTTTTGCTTTTTAAATTCAAACTTTTCCTAGCCATTTAGGAAAAAAGTACCTAAGCTGAGTTTTGGAAATTTTGCATCATAAAATTGCTTAATTGGGAAAAATAATGGTACCATTTGAAACTTCCTCATGCTTTTTTGGCATAGTATTTTGAAGTGGAAAAACATTTATTCCATCACCAATGCAAATATCATTCAAAGCATACAAAATACGTTAAAATTTGGCAATGAAATGAAATGTGAAAATATCTGTCTGTAACCATATTGGAAAGGACTTTAGGAACTTTGTCAAATTTGATAGCGGGAATTCCCGTTTGATCTGGAATTTTTCTTAAAGATTGGGGAAAAATAAACATTTTGGCATTATAAGGAATGGGTCTGGTAATCTGACCCATGGTGACACTGGAAAAAGGCATGGCACAATGGATCCATTTACTGAATGCTGGCAGCACATGTCTATGCTATACATGTATATTACTGCCCATACTGCTGTGTTGACTGTTGGATTTACCTTGGATTTACCTAGATGTTTCCTGTAATGAGATACAGTCAACTATCGTTATCTCGAAATCGCTTTTCTCGATATTTCGTTATCTCGATGAAATTTTGAAAGTCCCGATTTTCTTCCTTCTTTATCTATATTGGAAATAATTGTTTATCTCGATATTTTTATTTCGATATTTTCAGTATCTCGATGTAAAATTTCAGCCCCAACAGTTATTTTCAAACTATTATCCTTTGTTTATCTCGACTTCGTCTGTTCCTTTCAGACGTGTGAAAAACGCAATCTAGACGATAATTGCCCAATTAATAGCGCGCGTCATAAGGACGATTATGTTTGTAACAAGTTTAGCTGTTTTTATAAAGTTAATCTATTTAGCGTGTTGATTGAGTTATGTCCAAAATGAGTGAATTTTACATTCTTTTTAAATATTCGAAAACTGTATCAATTTATTATGACTTTAAATGTAAATGAAATAGTGAAAGTACAGAAACGCTATCGTTGCAATATTGTTTCACAACATCACCACCAAATCAATCAGCGTTGGAACAATCTCGAGAAACACCCGATAAATAACCCGGGAAGATATCCGGGTCAACCATATCCGATATCCTATTCACTATATTGGTGTATTATTGAGTAAACCTCACTATGTGTTTTTAACACAGACACCCGTATTTCCGCTGGTAAACATCCGCTTATGTTACTTTGTTAAATATTGACTAGGCCTATGAAAACAAGACATTGGGATACTATAGTTTATTTGACATAAGGTATGCACATGTCTTATGTAAAAATCAGTTTCGCCTTGTTCTAACCCCTATATGTTTATCTCGACATTTCGTTATCTCGATATTTTTTGGATGGTCCCAATGACTTCGAGATAACGAGAGTCGACTGTACTTGCTGCCCAGATTATAAGTTAATGAAGTTTTGAAGATGGGATATATTTGTTGAAATCAGTTCTTGTTTTTATTACAGACCAATATCTGATTTGGCAATCAAGGGCTGTGGTATATGAGGGTGTGAGAGTACAACCAAACCAAGGTTCTATTCTAGATACAACGACAGATGCAGTGATATACTTTTGGGATGATGGTGTAATTCATGGTATGTCTCCTAAATAAATTTGATAATATTTTCTTTTCTAGTCTTGTCAGCAAATATGTTTAAATTTTCCCTTTTCACTTGTTCATAAGAAGCATAATTCCAGTTAAATTTTCATTTGTATTTTTGGCACAGCTTAATTCAAGGTTCTATTTTAAATCAAACTTGTACTAAATGACTGACAAGGGAAACTTTAAAAAGTCAAAGATAAAGCATAAGAAAAAAGTAAAATTCCTTTGAGGTGGGAATTTTTTCAACTGTATTTATATATGTATAATAATAGTGATTGTCTTCTTCAACATTCTCAACACTCAACCCTTTTGTTCTGTTGTCATAAAAAATGAACAACCTAAGTCTAATTACAAATTTGATCAAAATAAAAATATCAACATTGCAGCATATAACCTCCTTAGTAGGGGTAGAGCATTGCTTTGTTTGATGGATTTTATTGGATAATACATATCACATGTGTACATTTCTTCATTTGCATATGCTAGCTGCTTGGGAATGAAGTTTTTTTAATCAAACATGCATTTTGTGTTTTGATTGCTTGACTTGTGATTCAGCAAGGTGTTATTCTATAAAAAGACCAAGACTTTTCAGGTAAAAGTGGTCGCTCAGTAAAAAGATTGACCATATTAACTGACTGAAATAAGGGGTCCCTGTTTGTGGAAGTAGAAGGTGCTTAATACATTAGAGATGACCTAAAGATGGGGGATTTAAAGTGGTCGCTTAACAAAAGTTGCTTAATTCACATGTTTGCATTTGCAAGCTAAACTGTAAATGTTATCTAGATTAGGCATTAGTTATGCCTCTATAATTCTGTTTATATTAAGAACAAATTTAATTCTTTTTGCATTTAAAAGTGTGGCTAATATTTTGGATATGTGTAGCATTTTCTTAATTGTGGTGTTTGACATAGGTCTTTACTTTATGCATTGGATTTTAAAGGTTTTTACACAGAAAATATATAAATTTTCAGCAGCAGTTAACAATTAAATTTGACCTTAAAATGACATTGACCTTCAATGTCAAGTGATTGACCTATACTTAGATTGTCAGAAATTGTCATTTATTTCTGGACTTGGTTCATACTAAAAAGGTTGGACAAAGCAATACAACAACATCACCATGTTATAAAAATTTAAATAAGACCTTATTTCATACAAAAAATGATGTTGTCTTTTCAAAAACATTCTTCACAAAATTGTTCTTCCTTCTATGTTAACCTTTGGCAGTTGGAAAAAGGTCAGCCCAGGAAGGTCACCACTTGTGGTAGGTCTTATTAATATGTAGCAACACCTTAGATATTAAAAAGGAATACTTGGTTTATATTGGACCTTATTAGCTCACCTGTCTCAAAATGACATGGTGAGCTTTTGTGATTGCTTTTCGTCCGGTGTCCAGCCATAAACTTTTACTTTAAACGACATCTCTTCATAAACCGCTAAGCCAATTTCATCCAAACTTCACAGGAATGTTCCTTTGTTGGTCAATTTTAAAAATTGTTCAAGGAATTCAATTCCAAGCATAACTCTGATTGCAACAGCAAGAAAAAAACTTAAAATATCTTCTTTTAGAAAACTGAAAGAGCTAGAGCTTAAAGATCCTGTAACACAATTTTTTCATGGTTTTATTTCATAAATATGATGCTCAAATTAAGATTTGTCAATATTGTAAGTTCCAATAAGCATTATTTACAGAGATATTACCGAATTTAACATTTCATGTAAATAAAGGGAGGTAATAAAAAATTTATTTTCTATAAATTCTAAGTAAAATTTTCCAATTAAAAAACGAATGCATATAATGTATTGATTAAATATAATGTGCATAAATATTTGCAGTACACATTTTACATATTCTTTGCTGTTTAAAAAAATTATTTTATTTGCATAATTATGTACATATATAAATATTTGCAACAGTAACAATATCGATCACACTATATACAGGATCTTTAAATATTTGGCATAAAACATCATCAAGTCAGTGTCTACCAAGTTTGTTCAAATAAATTCCCTGAGGTCAAAATAGCTCTGCCCCGGGGGTCATTGATTTTCCTAGATTGTATATAGTAAAAACTTACAAAATCTTTTTTTAAAAAACCAAAATAGCTAGAGCTTAGATATTAAGCATGAAACATCTTCTAGTTGATGACTACCAATTTTGTTCAAATAAAAGCCCTGGGGTAAAAATTGGCCCCGCCCCAGGGTCATTGTTTTCCCATAATTTATAAGTAAAAACTTAAAAAATCTTCTTTTAAAACCCCAAAGAGCTAGAGCTAAGATATGTACCATGAAACATCTTCTAGTGAGTGTCTACCAAGTTTATTCAAATAAGGCCCCTTGGGTTAAAATTGACCCCTGCCCTGGGGGTCATTGATTTGCCTTATATGTGTATAGTAAAACTTAAAAAAATCTTCTTATAAGATAAACCCAAAGAGCTAGAGTTTAGATACTAAGCATGAAATATCTTTTAGTGAGTGTCTACCAAGTTGGGGTCAAAATTTGCCCCTTTGAGGGGGATGGGGTCATTGTTTTTCCCTATATGTATATAGTAAAAACTTAAAAATCTCCTTATAAAAACCCCAAAGAGCTAGAGCTTAGACATTTATTATGAAACATCTTATGGGTGTCTACCAAGTTGGTTCAAATAAAAGCCCCTGGCTTAAAATTTGCCTTGACCTTGGCCTAGTGGCCTATATACAGGTGAGCAATTTCAGGGCCATCATGGCCCTTCTTGCAAATTTTGATGCTAGGTCAAAAACCAGCATGCCCTTAAAACTTATTTTTTAGCTCGACTTTACAAAATATATGGTGAGCTGTCCTACATGTACTCACCCCAGTGTCTGCATCCAGATTTCAGATTAAAGGTTTGGTGCAGTAAATAGAGGATATTGATGAGTGTAAGTTCAATACTGAATTTATTGCACAAGTTGAATAAAATTATATTATGCGAGCCTCTGGCGAGCATATTATTTAATTCAACTGGTGCAATAAATTCAGTATTGAACTTACACGAACTTAATATTCTATTTATCACATACCCAAAATAAAGACCATTTTAAGTGAAATAAGAGTCATAATTTTCATTGACTCGCCTATAGTATAACGCTAACATTTAGCCAGTCTTTACAATATGTTTGCATAACGCTAATGACGTCACATCAAAATATATGCACGGCCGTGGAGTACCATATTTACGGAGTCGCAAAATCAGCACGGGTGTGTGATAAAATATTTTTCACTTTAACTTTGAAATTTCTTAAGGTATCAACTTCAAACTTCAAATATACAGTAAACTTCACATATAGCGAACACGGTTATAGCGAACTTCCGGTTATAAGGAACAACATTTTTTGGCCCGAATTTATCCCTTCTTTATTTAATGTAAAAAATTACGGTTACAGCGAACACGTTTATAAGGAATTATCGCTTATAAGGAACTCATTTTTTAGTCCCAATGCCATTAAAAGTACAGAAAATTACACTTTTATAACGAACTCCAAAAAATCGGCTATCCGAAAACAGATCACGCATTTTCTACTTTCGTTTTCATCGCCACAGATTAAAACTTGGCCGAATGTAGCGGATATATTAGGAACAAATAATGACGATGAAGTCAATCATCCGAAGACAAGATCTATTTAGATGATCTGCCGGTTCAAAAAATGAAGCTATTGATTGTTTGCACAAGATTAGGTCATACTTAGAGTCTAATGCACATGTTAAAGAAACAGTTTTTAAAAGTTTATTGGATCTGAAGAGTTGTAAACATTCCCAAACTAAAAGTAGCATCTTCTTCAAAGCAAAGTGATTAATTTTATGCATGATACTGTATTGTTAATAAATAACAATATTGCTATTGCATATATGGTACATGTCATATAATTATCTTATAGATAATTATGTTTATACATAAAAATTATATTAAAAAGAAATAACATTGTAATTATTCCCTTTTTTTCTTTATTGAATCAATATAAGGGAAACAACGATGACGAACCAAAAGGTTATTTCTCTTAATCAAATGTTCTTAAAATGGAGGACGATGGTAAACAATTAGTTCATTATATGTAAAACTGTTCGCTATAAAAACTTCTGATACAAGGAACTAATTCGCTATATGCTTACAAGGAACTCCGGATATAAGGAACAGATTTTGAATGTCCCAATGAGTTCGTTATAAGCGGAGTTTACTGTATGTTCTTTATCATCAACCACATCTTATGTGTCAAGGTTCATAACTCTAGCGCCAATACTTTTAGAATTATCTCCCCTTAAACTTAGAATTTTCCTGAAAAATACTATCTTTAAATGTTACTTCTTTATTTCTTAAGGGATCAACTTCAAACTTCAAATATTTGTTCCTTATCATCTACCACATCTTATGTGACAATGTTCATAACTTCAGCTCCAATATTTTCAGATTTATCTCCCCTTGAACTTAGAATTTTCCTTTAAAAATATTATTTTTTACTGTTACTTCTTTATTTCTTAAGGGATAAATTTCATACTTCAAATATATGTACCTTATCATCATCCACATGTTATGTTACAAGGTTCATAACTCTAGTACCAATATTGCAAGAATTATCTCCCCATAAACTTAGATTTTTGTACTAGAAAAATGTTATTTTTTATTTTAACTTTTTTAGTTTGAAAGGTATCTCCCTCAAACTTCAAATACTTATTCCTTATCATCAATGACAGTTTATTTGATAATGTTCATAACTCTTGAAGCAATATTTACAGATTTATATCTCTTTGAACTAAGGATTTTCTTTAAGCATTATTATAACTTCTTTAGTTTTTAAGGTATCTACTTCAAACTTCAAATACATATTTCTTATTATTACACACATGTTGTGTGTCAAGGTTTATAACTCTAGCATTTCTGTTTCTAGAATTATTCCCCTTGATCTTGGAATTGATGTAAACAATGTTATTATGCTCCAACAAAGTGGGAGCATATAGCATTACACATGTCCGTCAGTCCATCCGTCCGTCCGTACGTCCCAAAATCTTGTGAACGCAACTCCTCTTTAACCGGATGGCAGATTTTGCTTAAAATTCCAGGGATGAACAACCTTTATGTATAGATGGTAGTAAAGGAAGGAATTTTCGCTGCGACCAAATTTAACAGAATTATGGCCCTTTGTTGATTTTTTCACTATATACTATGTAGAAATTTTGTGAACGCAACTCCTCTTAAACTGGATGGCAGATTTTGCTTAAACTTCGAGGGATGAACAACCTTAATGTGTAGATGGTAGTTAAGGAAGGAATTTTTGCTGCGACCAAATTTAACAGAATTATGGCCCTTTGTTGATTTTTTCACTATATACCATATATATGCTGTCAGTGGGGGCATCCGTGTCCTTTGGACACAGTTCTAGTTTTTTACTATAACTTAAAACATAATTATACATAATTGATTTTTCTTTTATAGTATTGTCTTCCTAAATACAACGTCCAGTATTTTATTAGTCGGGCTTCGCTGTCTCCTGTGACAGCTCTTGTTTACTTATAATGCCAGTTTAAATGTGTACATAGATTTGAAAAAGTGAAATTGAGATAGTAATTTATGACTTGAACAGGTAGTGTCACAACAAGGAGCAATACTGTATTGGCAGCTTGTGGAAGGGATGTTTTTGATACAGTTTCAAAGAAAAGTATGTATCATATGATTCAAGGTAAACTTTATTATGATGACTTAATAGACATGTAGATATTTCTTGAAATTTAGTTGAGCTTTGGTGATAAATATTCTATGAATAATCATCTAGATCCAACTTTATATATTTGTCTTTGATGATAGTGTGAAATAACATGAAATGTAACTCTTACTGTCCATTGCCACAACCAGTATTATTTAATGTGAGTAGAGATAAAATTAGAACTAAAATAAATATCTTAAAATTCATTCATCAAGAAATCTCGAACTTGTTAAAGGGCCTTCACAGCTTTGCCAAGGGACCTTGTCAGCCTTATAAAGCAATCTCTTTGACCTCACAGTAGGGTCCCTCAACTTATCAGTTGGTCTTTCTATCCTGTCAAGATGATTAAGCACCCTAGTCAAGAAAGAAACCAGGCTTAGCCAACAGCCAGTTTTGCCGACCTACTCAACCTCATATCAAAGGGTTTTTCTAGCGTTTTGTTGGAACTGCACAATAAATTTAGTTGATTCCTTTCATAATTTAAGAACCTGTCGAGATGCTCCTAAACCATGACAAGAACTCTTGTGGTGAAGCCTACATATTCTTTTCAGTGGTCCTCCTTGAGATATTTTTTTTCTATCATTTACTGTAAAAATGAAGAAACATAGTCATCCCGTGCCCAAGGAGGTGGATATTGTTTTGGAATTGTCTGTCCAGAGTCACAATTTTTGTTTCCATGCTATTTCTCTGCAACTACTGGCGGGAATTCAACAAAACTTTATGGAAACCATCAATACCAAAAGGAAATGCCCATATTCTCGCCTTGTTTGGGTCAGACTCTTCAACACAGAGTTATGGCCCTTGATTAGTTATGCAGTATGCATATAGAGCAATAATCCTTTCTGTGCTTCTCTACAACTACTGGCTGGAATTCAATGAAACTTCCCTGTTCGGGTAATCCCCTGCAGCACAGAGTTATGGCCCTTGATTAGTTATGCAGTATGCATATAGCGCAATAATCCTTTCTGTGCTTCTCTACAACTACTGGCTGGAATTCAATGAAACTTCCCTGTTCGGGTAATCCCCTGCAGCACAGAGTTATGGCCCTTGATTAGTTATGCAGTATGCATATAGAGCAATAATCCTTTCTGTGCTTCTCTACAACAACTGGCTGGAATTCAATGAAACTTTATGGGAACCATCAATACCAAGAGGAGATCACTTATTGTACTTGTTAGGGTTAGACCCTTCAACACAGGGTTATGGCCCCTGATATGTTATGCAGTATGATTATAGAGCAATAATTGTTTCGCCCTACTTTTCTGCAACTCGCACTACTTTTCTGCAACTACTGGCTGGAATTAAATGACACTTTATGGGAACCATCAATACCAAGAGGAGATGCACATATTGTTGCCTTGTTCCTGTCAGACCCTTCAACACAGAATCATGGCCCATAATAAGTTATCCAGTATGCATATAGAGCAATAATTGTTTCCTTGCTATTTCTCTGCAACTACTGGCTGGAATTCAATGAAACTGTATTGGAACAATCAATACCAGAGGTGATGCGCATATCGTTTACTTTTTCTGGTTAGACCCTTCATCACAGAGTTATAGCCCTTGATTAGTTGTGCAATATGCATATTTAACAATACTGCCTTTTCTTTGCTACTGCAGGATTGATTTCAACAAGATTTTATGGAAACCATTAATATGAAAAAGAAATTTGCATCTCATTGGATGTCCAGATAATACTATTTAACACCCCTGTTATGGCCCTGAATTTTTATCTTGTACAAAGAATAACAATTTTTATGCAATTTTGTTGCAACAACTGACTAAATTTTAGCATGTCTATATCAGTTGTGAATTTACTCATTTAAGACTGGTTTAAATACCTGGCCATCAATACTGAGATATTTCATCACTTCCATTAAAAGAATGTTTTACAACATTACATATCAACACCCACTCACAGCCTAGGTGATGGACCTAATCATAAGCCAGATATCAAACCTGAAGACAATTTCAAAGCCAGTCTCTCAAACAGTCCAGCAATTCATTTTGGTAAAGCTCTGTGAAATACAGATAGATTTGCAGTCAGAGTGATCTGTAATACAAGTAAAGATGTCTCATTCTTATATTATGGTTATCTGACCAACCGTTTTTCATCAACTGAATTTTTTGTTTACTTTTAATGCCTTGATAAATATATAAATAAAGCCTAAAGTCTCTAGTTGAAACCAGTACTCGGCAGGGGATATAAATTTAACAAATTTGCTTGCTTCTTCAAGAAGCCATCTTTTGCAAAGTTAGTCATAACTTTGATCCATTATATCTATATATTGAACTAAAGAAGAACCTCAGAAAGTTGGAAGTTGAAGGGACTAGGGTAAAAACATTGAGACATCAGGATTTTGACTTATGTATCAGACTCATTTTACTGACAAAATTTCATCTGTGTTTGTATGTTTTTTTCAAAGGAGTAAAAACAGGCTTAAGGGAAATAACTTAACAGGATTACAATATTGATATGCTGGGTGATTATCACAAGATGTCTTCTCATTTTCAGTAAAGGAAGTAAGTCATATAGTGTATAAGAATTATAATCAAAGCAGTGATTACTTTATTTTCAGTGCGCTCAAAGGAAGCAAACTTGATACTTCAAAAAGCTGAAAATATCAAGGTTGACATATTTTTCATGAGATGCCAGAATTCACCTGATGAAATATCTAAGGCTACAAGAGAGGGCTTACTAAAGGCAGACAAATGCAAAAATATCACTTCAATTTGCATTGGTTTTGATAAATCACGTATGTATACGTAATTACAATGCTAGAAAAGTTTCTTGAATTCTTGATTATGTGATTTTTAGCTCAACTTTTTTTAAATTTTGAGCGATTGCTACAGTCAGGTTGTCGTTCCTGTTGCTGTCCAGAAAGTTAATTGTGGACCTATAAAAATGTTAAAATTTTTCTTGATTTTTCTATAACTGGCTATAATTAAGTTATTTATAGTGGTTTGTCTTCAGCACAACTATCCTTCGTAAAGACCACCTTAGAACAGACATGACTGAACATGACCTTGACTCATAAATGACTATGACTTTGAAGGTCATATGTTTACATTTTTTTTTTTTTTTTTGTTGATTTTGGTTATAATTGGCAAATATTTAGTTATTATATGCCCGAAAGGGCATATTATGTTATACCCCCTGGCGTCCGTCCGTCTGTTAGCAATTTGGTTTTCAGAGCATTACTTAAGTTCCATTTGACCCACAATGTTCAAACTTCATAGGATGATTGTCCATATTGGGTAGAAGATCTCTATTGATTTTGGGGTCAAAAGGTCAAAGGTCAAGGTCACTATTACCTTGATACTGAAAACAGTTTCTGGAGCATAACTTAAGTTCCATTTGACCCACAATATTCAAACTTCATAGGATGATTGTCCATATTGGGTAGAACACCCCTATTGATTTTGGGGTCACAAGGTCAAAGGTCAAGGTCACTATTACCTCGATACTTAAAACAGTTTCCGGAGCATAACTTAACTTCCATATGGCCCAAAATATTCAAACTTTATAGAATGATTGTCTATATTGGGTAGAAGACCCCTATTGATTTTGGGGTCAAAAGGTCAAAGGTCAAGGTCACTATCACCTTAAAATTGAGAACAGTTTCCGGAGCATAACTAAAGTTCCATTTGGCCCACAATATTGAAACTCCTGAGGATAATTGTCCATAACCTACATCTGTAAAATTTTATAGGATGAACAGCTAATTCACATGTCTTACAAATGCTTTATCCTTACTAAAAAAAAACACTTTCATGCATATAATGCTCCGCCTAGCGGTGCTCTTGTTTATCAATGGATCTTTTTCATACTTGGACACAACAATATTTTGGACAAGATCTTCAGGTAGAACAAATTAATTGCAACCATCACTCATCAATAACCTTGACCTTGAAGTCAAATCAATGAATTTTGTTTGATTTTTGCTATAATTGGCTATAACTTTGATATTTGATATCTTTTAAATGGGTTGTCTTCATACTTGAGCAATTTTTCCTTTATGACAATGTCTTAAAAAAAATTAAGCTCAATTTGACCTTGACCTCTGGAAAACCTTGACCTTAAAGGTCAAATTATTTCACAGTTATTTCACACATATAGTTATTTCACAGTTTTTTGCTATTATTGTATATAACTTTGTTATTAAGGAATGTATTGTGTTCAAACAATCCTTGATATTAAAGAATATTATTTTGAACTTGACCTTGACCTAAATAAGACCTTGACACTTTTGTAAGTGTCAAATCAGTGTATTTTGCTGAACCATTTTTTTAGCTCACCTATGATGGCTCGATGGTTGAATGTCAGTCATCTGCCCACATTTAGTTTTTTAACACTAGTATTCATATTTTAGCCCCAATTGTCAAGATGTTTGTCTAAGTATTTGTAATTGCTGAAGGATTTCGAATATGAGTTATCTCTGAGGAAAAACTAGGTCACAGGAGCTAAAAATAAAAAAATCTTTAAACACTCTTGTGGCTATTTTGATTCAAATATCCTTGAAATTAGTCATAAAGGTTTTTAGCTCACCTGAGGATCATTGAATGTCTGTCGTCCGTCCACATTTGTTCATTAACACTCTAGTGGTCATATTTTTGCCTCAATCATCATCAAACTTTGTCATGTCTGAAAGTTTGTTTTGATGATTTCAAGGTCAAGTATGGAATATGGGTCACCTAGGGTCAAAAACTAGGTAACACCACCCAAATGAGGAAAGACCTTATTCACACTCTAGTGGTCACATTTTTGACTCAGTTGCCATCAAACTTGGTCAGGGTGCTTGTCTAGGTAATTGCACAGATGAGTTCGAACATTGGTCATCTCACATGGAAAAATAGGTCGCAGGAGCTTAAAATAGAAAAAAATTGTTGTCTCTCTAATTGCTACTGTTGTTATCCAAATATCCATTTCTATGTCAAGTTTGGGTCACCTGGGGTCAAAAACTAGGTCATACTGCCCAAATATGGAAAAAACCTTGTTAACACTCTAGTGGTCACATTTTTTACTCAATTGTCATCTCTTGGTCAGGATGATTGTCTGATAGTAAATTGCTTGGATGACTTCAGACATGGGTCATATCTTATGAAAAACTAGGTCACAGGAGCTAGAAATAGAAATAGTTTGTTAACTCTTTAGTTGCTACTG